TAACAATATCAACAGCTTTTTGCTCCAAAAACAAATGGATGCTGAAAGGAGAGACATGTTGCCAAAGTTTTTCTGCTTTGATTCATTAGGGCAAGCATCAGAATGGAAAATTTCAAACTGTCATAACAATTTATACTGCAGAAGAGAAAGGTTTTGTGCTGATCCTGATTAGCTGAAGCATTGCCATGGAGAAGGCACCAGAGAATCAAAGACTTGGCATCCCCTGTTCAGTACTCAACACCTTCAATTTCATTCTTCATAACTTCCCCTATCCCCCTGCCCTAACCATATCCCTGGTACTGCTTGGGGTGTGGGTGGGGACAACAGCACGTGAGGGGAATTAGCCATGGGAGCAGACCCTGAAGTGTTCAGGGATGCTGTTGGATTGGAGGGGTGGAACTAGAATTGGAAGTTGAATCAAGGAAACCTTGAATAGACTGACTTGTAATATAACTGAAGGCAAATGTCACAGCCATAATTTGTCACATTGAAGGGTTGTTGCTTCAGTGGAGTTGCATCTTGTTGCTGGACCTCCCTCCAAACCTAACTGATGGATTGTTACTGCAGCCAGGAGAGCAAATCCTCCTACAGCCCAAGAGAAAATTTAAAATGCTGTTGTTGGTGCATGTCTCCACTTTGCAGCTGACTGTGAAGTTAGGCTGTTGTTCGTGTTGTCTAACAAAAGTTTCCAAATCTCCCTCAACTTTATCTGAAACTATTTAAACACTAATCTTGAAGTACTGTTGTTGCTTACTTTTCCTTTTCTTTTGGAAAGCTTTTACATTGGTCTGCAGTAGACTTTTTGTTTATTTTCTGTCCACAGTCCTGCTTTGCCCAACTTATTCAACATTTTCATGCCCATTATGAGATATATTAGGTCATTTTTAAAAATCATGTTGTTTGAGAAGCCATTTGTGAATTTTTCACAGACTAATTTACTTCTGATGCTTTCATTTAAGAGATTAATTGTCAATGTTAATGGCAGCTATTTTTTGTTTATCTTTCATATCAGGAATTAAACTTGGTTATGACTGCTCTGTTACATTAACCCTTTGTTTTCTTTCCATGACTGGTGTGATATTTAGTTTATTTTTGACTGTCATTACTCCACATTGACACGTCTTTGGGCTTTTACTTGTTTATTAAATAGTCTGACAAATAATCAATAATAGACTTTTCAATAACTTTTTTTGATTAACAGTAGTTATTTTTGGTTTTTTGGTACAGTTACATTAGATGATAAATAATGCAGGAATTCTGTTACTCTTCCTTTATAACATTTAATGAACTCCATTCCATTTCCACTGCTTATTTAAGGTATGAATTTTGACTAATACCTGTTCAGTTTGCTTTTTAGATCCTCAAAAAGAATAAGTGATATGGGGTTAGGGGAAGGATAGAAAATTGATTTAAAACTAGCTCGAAGGAAAAACAGAAGTTAACTGCAGTTTCTGAGTGGTTAGAGTTGTGTAACATCATACAAAAGGATTCTTTTCTCAGAGGATTATTTTATGGGACAACTTCTGTTCCCTGGAAATATTAACAATTTGGATTGTGTGCTGGTGGGAATGGTGGCCAGATTTAAACTTGAGACTAAAATGAGAGGACTGGTAACTAATCCTGAGGATCAAAGGAAGCTTAAAAGGAATTAATATTAAAATGCTGAAATGGGTCTGCAGCTTCCAAGATCCAATTGTATCTTTCTTTACAATTAATTTATTTATTTCATTGGAATATCTAGATAACTTCTTTATTCTTTATTCTTATTTGAACTTATTTGCTTTTATTTCCAACACCCAAAATATATTAGCTGGCAGGTTTCATGCATCCTGCAAAAATATGCAAACGCAAAACTGGAAGCCAAAAATACTATCTCAAACTTAGGAATGGCAAATAAGTCATTCTCGCAATTGATTGCATTTAACATAGTATAGGACTTAAGCAATTAGGTGAGCAAAGGAGACATGAGTAAACGCTGGCAATTAAAATTAGGGAGAATCCCAAGATATTTTACAAATATATTAAGAGGAAGAGGATAAGTGCTGGAAAGTGTGATTAGTATAGATATGTTAGTGCAGACTTGATGGGCCAAAGGACCTCTTCTATCGTGTATGACTCCATACTAATCATTTAGGTGTTTTATGTCCCTCATCTGGAAAGAACTTTCTTGCTAATAGAAAAATATTTCCAATTTATTTACCAAGTTATTTGTCCTTGCCATGCTTTTTCATTTTGTTCTATATTCAGCTTTAGTGGCTATCAGGAGGTTAGTCACACCTGGAGATCAAAAAAAAAATTGCATACAAATCTAATGGTATCTGAGGAAATGAGCAAAATGTGAAATGAAGATGAGTGTATATGAAGTTAAGTAATCACTATAGACAGCAATGTTTAAAACATCACTTTTTTTTGGTGTATCTTAACACCAAAAGATTTATAGTGAAACATCACAGCAAGCATCACAAGCTAATTTTAATAAAAGAAGGAAATATAAAACATGTCAAAGCAGCTATTGAAAAGTCCATATGATGAAGTAGAGGAACGACTAACTGATTCATCAAGACTGTTTCATATCACTGGGGTTCAACATACGTGCACCTTGATTCCCATTCACTTCCCAGCTCCAATTTGTGACATTTTCTTCTGGGAGAGGTTTAAAAAAAGACGAAAAATCTTCTGCCATTTCAGGAGAAAAGAACTTCAAGCAGGCTTTTTTTCCTTCTGAAATGGCAGGAGATATTCTGTCTTTTTTGAAAACCTCTCCCAGGGGAAAAAAAAATCCTCAAGCAGGTTTGTTTTCCCCAAATCCTCAAGGACAATCAGACAAATTCTTAAAGTGAATTGTTTCCTATAAACAACGCCGAATTTAGCTCAGAGTTCCACTGGAACTTTCTGTTTGTTTAAATGCATATGGGCAGGCTAGCATTTATTGCCCATCCCTAATTGCCTGGAGAAGGTGGTGGTGAACTACCTCCTTGGATTGTTGCAGTTCTTGGGGTGAAGGAACACCCACAGTGCTATTAGGGAGAGAATTCCAGGATTTTGACCCAGTAACAATGAAGGAACAATAATGCAGTTCCAAGTCAGGAGTGCTGGTCAGCTGTTGTCCTCCATTCAATTTGCTCAAATGCACATTATATTCCATGCTTGCAGTGTGGTCTCGTTCAACGCAAAGAACAGTATTTATATAGAACATTCCATGTCCCCAGGATGTCCAGACTGCCCTACAGCCAATAAAGTACTTTTGAAGTGTAGCCATCTCTGTATTGGAGAGAAACATGGGAATCACTTTAAACATACAGCCCCATACACAGTGTTATAATGATGACTATTTGATCTGTGTTAGTTATTAATCTAATCTTGATTAGATTAGACTACCTGTTGTTCTTTATATAACGCTGAGCAATTGAACAACACACTGGAGAAGGAGACTGCTCAATTATCTCCTCTGTCATTGATGGGGGAGCCCAAAATTGCAGTGCAAAAGACAATGCCAATACATTTATAGGCATAAAAACCAAAAGAACTGCGGATGCTGTAAATCAGAAACAAAAACAAAGTTGCTGGAAAAGCTCAGCAGGTCTGGCAGCATCTGTGGAGGAGAAAACAGAGTTAACACTTCGGGTCCGGTGACCCTTCCTCAGAACTCAGAACTTTACCGGACCCGAAACATTAACTCTGTTTTCTCCTCCACAGATGGTGACATTTATAGGCAACTTCACTCAGAAGTCTTGTGTGGATTAGCCATCTTGGCCGAATCCTGAGGTCCCCAACATCACACATGTCAACTGCTTCATGAATGACCTCTCCATTGTGAAGACAGAAGTGGGGATGTTTAATGATAATTGTGACTCTATCATGTTCGTATGCAGCAAGCCCTCGACAACATATAGTGTTCTCAGCTGGGAGCATAGTGATTTAGAGTAACCAGTCTGCAATCATAAATTGGGGAAACTTGCCTAGGACTGGTGGAAACAAATGGCAAATAAAATTCCCACCACAAAGTGCCAGGCCGTTCCGTCTCCAAAAAGAGAGAATTTGCCCTTTGACATTCGATGACATTGTCTTTGCTGAATCTCCCACTATCAACATCCTTGGGGTTGTAATTGACTAGAAACTGAACTGGATCAGCAATGTAAATGGGGTAGCTACAAGAGGAGGTCAAGTGCTGTTAATTCTGTGGTGATTGTCTGTCTAATGCCTATCCATCAACTGCAAGTTCTCCTCCAACTTGAACATCATCTTGATTTGAAACTATATGGCTATTCTTGCATAGTCATTAGGTCAAAATCCTGGAACTCCCTAACAGCATTATGTGTGTCCTTACACCTGAAGAACTGTCATGATTCAAGAATGCATTAACCACCACCTCCAGGACAATTAGAAGTGTGCAATAAATGTTGTCCTTGCCAGCAACATCGACATCCCATGGACCAATCCAGAAAAAGACAAATAAAATTCCAGATGCTGGAGCTTTGAAACAGAATGATAGAAATGTTTAGCAGGGTAGTCAGTATCTGGAGTGAAATGGGAAATTAATGCCTTAATTATGGATCAGAACTGCATGACATTATCAATGAACATATTTTTTTTCAAGGAATAAAGTTGTTTGGGTGTAAATTTGTCTGTCAGTTTATTCTTACTGCTTTATATTGCTGCAAAGGATGACGTTCACTCCAAGTATCATCTAATGCTGAAGAAAACAGTTTTTAACTTGCCACTTCTTTCTCTGGATTAACATCATGAGTGATGCAAATGTTTCCTGTTCCCAATTTATTGTTAAAATAATCTAGAGGACTACATAAAATACCCAGTTCTCCACCTTTATTCTTAAATTTAATTTAGTACCTGTTAGCTAATAAGCCCCTCAACTGCTAATGCTCCTTGTAAATTTATCAGTATTCCTGCATTATGCTTGCATTGTGGACCATTCATATCAGCATAATATCAATATATATTTGTTGAATTATGTCATTTATTTTTATTTCTTTTCAGTAAAATCAACTGTTCTAAACTACCAGAGTCCTGCAACGGGTCTTTTCCCCACCAAAACAGTTGGTGATAGTAATTATGCCAAAGTTCGAGATTGCCTTTATTGTGCTGCCAGCGCATGGGCTGTAGCACTCGCTTATAGGTAAGTGCAATCCTTTTAGATATCTGTACTACACTACCAAAACACTTTTGAATTCAAATGTTGTTAGGAGATTTGTGTCTGCAGAGCTCGGTGGTCAATAACTTGCATTGTGAAGTGTATAGGTTGTGCATTTCCTTACATCAATATGACAGTTCAGTTACAATACTGAAGTATCTGTGCTTAGAATACACACTAATTTTTTGACATTAAATGTATGTTGTTTTGGATAGAGTCCATTTCTAGCAGCACAGCATTGATCTAAAATTTGCATTGATGAATTCTGTGCTTCTCTTGTGATGGTATCAAGAGAAGTACAATTCTTTGCAGTATGGAAGAAGATTATTTGATCCAGCATTTGTATGTCAACTCTTTCCACTTAATCTAATTCCACTTCCCTGCTCATTCAGGGAACACTAGGTTAGCACGCAGGTACTGCTAACAATTGGTAAGAAAAATTTCATGTTGGTTTTTTGTGTAATTAGATTGAAGTACACTAATAAGGAGTCTTCCTACAACTGTACTGAACATTGAGACCATACTGGAGTGCTTTGTACAGTTTTGGTCTCCATATTTAAAGAAGGATGTATTTGAATTGAAGTTGATATGGTGATGGTTCACTAGATTTGTTTCTGGGATGGTAAGGTTGTCCTAAAATAAGATGCTGAGAAAGTTTGACCTAGACTCTGGAATTCAGAAGAATAAGAAGTGATCCCATTGAACCATACGAGATTCTGAATGTATGCAAATGGAGAAATGGAGTTGAGCCTGAAGATTGACTGTAATGATTTTGAACAACGGGATGGTGTTGTGTACTTTTCCGGCTTAAGTTCTTACGTTCTTTTCCAGTAGTTCTGTATATTCTTCCTCTTAATTTATCCAATTTTACCAGTAAAAATTGACTCTGTGCCTTAAGCATGATAGGTATTCTATGCTTCAATTAAACAAATTTCTTCAGAAGTCTTTCCTCACACCCTCACTGATATTTTAAATTAATAACTAATTGTTTCTGACATTTACGTAGAAACATAGAAGTTTGGAGCAGGAGGAGGCCATTTGGCCCTTTGAGCCAGCTCTGTCATTCTTCACAATCATGGCTGATCATTCAACTCAGTAGCCTGATCCTGCTTTCTTCCCATTCATCCCAAGTGCACCAACCACTTTCTGTGGTGATGAATTCCACAGACTCACCACTCTTTGGGTGAAGAAATGTGTCCTCATCTCCGTCCCAAATCGTCCATCCCGAATCCTCATACTGTGACCCTTGGTTCTGGACACACCCACCATCCGGAACATCCTCTCATCAGACTTAGCTACCCCCATAAACGGCCCCTGACCACCTGCTTGACCATCCAACTAACCCCTCTCAACTGTCCACTACCTGCTAAAACACCTGATCACCTGACTACCCAACAGCCCCCATCCCTATCAATCAGACCCAATTATTCCCTGCCAGTGCAGGTGGCTACCCATCCACCTGACTACTTCTCCACACCACCCCCCACCATCCCCAGCTACCCATATTGTCCCACCAATAGGAATTGACTAGCTCTTACACAAGTGCCCCACCATGACCAAACCCACCTCACACCCACATCTCCGAACCATCTCACTCTTCTGATTAATCTCATCCCCACCACAATTTTTCTCTCTCCTCCCAATTCACCTTCTCTCGCCCTGCACCCATCATGTCCACCTACTCACCTCACCAACTTATCTATTCTGTGAACCAGTAAGTCACCCATTCACTAACTCATGTTCAGTTATTAAAAGACTTGAAATCTTTAAATAGTTACTTGACTATTATACCATTTTGCAAATAAACCTACAGACAATGGACTCTCTCTGCATTGCAGCGCTCAATGCGCAGGTCTTCTATACATTATCTTAGTTGCACTTAATATCTTCAAGAAAATGGAATCGAAGAATGTCAGTTCTGTTACTTTTGGATAACACAAGAATATTAAATTACAGTATGCAATTAGGATTTTTGCTATTGTCCAATGTCACATGTTTTTCGTGTAAGAATAACAGGCTGCCTTTTGAAAAAGAGAAAAATGTTGTCTTATAGCGATTGCAGTGATGTCCCTTTAAGACATCAACATGCGATTGAGCTTTGCACCCTGCTGTTCTCTGTACTGCAGCATACAAGACACAGGCTATGTCTGAAATTGCTCTGAATTGTGTTTATTAGTTTAGCTAAATAAACCCAGTGAAGTAAAGAGAATACACTAATCTCATTTATGTTACATTTAGATTGCACAGACTATTATTACACTATTGTCACAAAAAGGAGTGTATCTTCTCCTTCCACTGGCTCTCCTGCACTCAGTAGATATACCCTCTGGTGTACCCAGAGGCAGACGCTGCCTGCTGCCCATTTTTGCTTCAGCAGGGATTGGAAGATTCTGGAAGAAATTGGGATTGTTCAGAACATTCTGAAAAAACTGGACTGGAAACGTTAACTCTATTTCTGTCTTTACAGATGCTGTCAGACTTCCTGAGTTTCTCTAGTATTCTGTGTTTGTTGTCAAATATTAGTTTTGTTGAGACTTAAGTGTTGTTTAACTGGTTCTCCAATATGTATTTTGATTAATTTTACCAACTTCACCTTTGAACATTTTACACCATAAATGGTTTAACTTAATTCTAAAATTCAAAATTCATTTTAAGGTGATTTCCAAGACTGATACCTCCCTGAAGCAAATTTGACCGTATGACTATAAAGGTCCCACCAATATTGGATTGACACTGCAGTGGTGTAATCAGGTGCCTGGCCTCACAGAATATTTTAGATGGTCTATTTTTGTATCCCTCGTGTGTTTCTAGGCAACAAGGTTACCCTAGTGTTGTAAAAATGTCACTGAACTGCCATCCTGTTTTGTCCCTTATAATTAGGTGTGAAAAAGTTTAGGTCTATAAATGGTTCAGAACTTAATCAGTTGAGCAACCCTACAAGATTAGATCAATATAATTATGAGTTAATATGCATTAAATAACTTTTTTTGCACTTGTGTTTGTTTCAGAGCATATTTAAACAAAACTCTATGCACTACTGTTAGGATCTCGGCTGAGACCAGTAACTTTTAATAAAAGAAAGCTGAAATCCAGTTATTTATGGAAAGAAGAAAGGCACAATAATCCATGGCTTACTAAACAAAAAAGTACTATGATAAAGAGGGAGTAATTAGAATAGGAGGGAAATCTAACAAGAAGTGTTAAAATTGAAAGTGAGAGGTTTACAAATATATGTAAACAGACAGGATTAGCCACTTGGAGCTTTGACATCTTGGAGGGTGAAACTAAGGAGTCCAGAATGGAAAACGAGGAAATGGTGAAGACCTTGAACAAGTATTACTTGTGCAAGGTACAAAATGCATTTCAAGAATAACCGAAAATAAAGAGGCAAAGTTGGGGTGGTGGAGGGAGCAGAAGCTTGGAATAAGCTCTATCACTAGACCATACAAATAATGACATAGTGGCAGGATTGGGTCAAACTCTCCTTCAAACCTGCTGGTCTCAAATCTACTTTTCTGCCTACTGCAATACCCTTGACCACCTTGTTTATTAAAAATATTCAAGGACTATTTCTCCACTGCCCTTGGAGAAGAGAATTCCACAGACTCATAGGAACAAGAGTAGGCCATTCAGTCTGTCAAGCCTGTTCTGCCTTTCACTGAGATCACAACTAATCTGTGGCCTAATTCCATAAACCTGACTTTGGCCCATATCCCTTGATAACTCTGCTTAACAAAAATTCATATAGCTCAGATTTAGCATGAACAACTGATCCAACATCCAATGCTATTTGTAGAAGAGACTTCTGAATGCCTACCACCCTTTGTGTGTAGAAGTGTTTACATCTCTCCTGAATGGCCTGTCCCTAATTAATAGACTATGCTACCTACCATTGGAAATAATTTACCTTTATCTACATTGTCTTTTCCTGCTAATATCTGAAAACTTCAATTCGATCATCCCTTAATCTAAATTCTAGAGAAAACAGGCCTAATTTGTATAATCTCTTGTGTCTGTCAGAGAGAAAAAAAGTACTCTTCATCCCCATCTTGAATGGTACAGGTGCTGCTAAGGCTGCACAACTGGACCAAGGCGCCTTAGGAGCGGTGGGATACTGACGAGAAAATAGTGTCCTTGTTTCAGCTACCACCTTAGCCTGGCAGTGCGAGAAGAACTGAAAGTCTCGTGGATCGAGCCACAGGTATGATTAGAGAAGAAGCAAGTGCAGGAAAAGCAGAGTTGTTTCTCCAATCATGCAATCCATCTGTCTCATGCTTTCTCTTCCAGCTAAACCAAGCAAGGACTTCCTCTCTCGTGCCTTCACTGATCTCCCACTCAAAGATCCTGTATCTTTACTTTCCCAATCTTCAATTTCTAGAGGAAGTCATCTCGTACTATCTATGCCTGGAAGCAACATGTTTTAGCAGGAGAACAAATAGTACTTCAGCACAGCTCCAACAACACACACAGTTGTGCCATATGATGACCTATAAGTAGTTCATCATCCTTTTAAATACCGCAGATGGCTGTTGAGGGGTCAGTGGGGGGGTGAGCCCTTCATTCTACAGTTTACTACTGTTCAGATGCTTGAGCTGAATGTAGAATGGAGAAGCACCATCCTGGCATCAGATTGGTGATGCTCACTGATCCGCATCATGATCTTCCTTTTCAATGCTGGTGGTCATTGGATTCATACAAGCAAATTGCTTTATCAGGCTGGCATCCTGTGCACCTCCTGTAGAAGTTCCATTTTCAAGGGATAGCTGCTTTCTAGTGTGGAGCAAATGAGTAATACGCAGCATATTTTATCCCCATAGTGATTTATACTTTCATTGAAATTGTTTTAAAATGCAACAATTGGTTTGGGTGTAGTGTGGGATGAGCCTGTGAAGGACTGTATAACAACAACTTTCCTGACATTTCTTGGCGATGATGGAATCCATGGTTTTAAAGCTTTTATTTTTTTTTAAGACAAATCTTAATTGAAAAGGGAAACTCAACAGGGAGAATGAGAAAATGGAGACTAAGTCGATAACTGTGATTGGAAACCAAAACCTCTGGAAACCTGGAACTGGTTGAAAGCATAGCAAAGGACACAGAGACATCAGAGCCTAGATGATGATGCCAGTGGTGCAGTACAGACCAGAGGTCAAATATATTTTTTTCAAGGGTTTCTCAAGGTGTTCTTGAGAGCTACATTTTGATTTTTTGGAAGCTATGTTTTTAGGTCTTTTGTTTCATTCCCACTAACTCGGGTGGATGCAATCTCATAGTAATTTACCCCATACATTGACATCAGGTTTCTTTACTTGCTTGGAAGCGCAATTACAAGAAATCATTAATATCGTTAATAGTCAATACCACTTTATCAAACTTAAAATCACAATACACAGTGAAAGCATTGATTTCTTAGATAGCAGCGTATTTAAATCATCACAAGACAACCAGTATAAATCAGCAACAAATCTGCCAAACACAACCATACGCAAAAAGCCAGCATCCTAAACACAATCTCAGCAGACCAGTGAGTTTGCAGCTCACTAATTTGATGTTTGTTTCTAACAGTGTTACTGTACCTCAAATAATTCGGACACTTTGAGACATGATAACACTCTAATGCAAATCTTATGACATAAAGTTAAGTCATATTCTTAATGTGAAAGTAAAGTCATCGTAGTCCCAGAGGACCATGTGGCTGCTGTCTCATTTCACAAGAGATGACTGATGATGGTTTAATCTGAGTGTTGCCACAGGTGAGCCCTTGATGGTAGCCTCAGCCGGTGCAGGAAACGAATTCATGCTGTTGGCGTTACTCTACATTGCAAAGAAGCCATCCAGCCAACTGAGTTATCTGACCCCCACTATTAACATTTATTACAATAACATCCACTTCATTTTTGCCCTTTATGACAGCTGCTGAACTTCTGTGGCTTTAAACTAGACACTCCACATTCATTTGCAAAGAATTTATTATCTTAGTGACTTCAAGTTTTCCTGGTTCCCAGTTAGCTGAGCATTCACTCATTTAAAGCTTTAAAACTGTGCCTTCCCTTTTGCAGACCTCTTACCCCCTTTGCCACCATTCTCTGTAATTTGTACTTCCCTTTGGAGCTTCTTCCTCCACCCTCTCCATTTCCAGCCACCCCTCTTTTAAACCCTTTCCTTTGCAACTGCACATCTGTCCCAGACCTCGGGCTTCAAGCCCAGCAGTCTTGCTCCCCAAGTCCCAGTCTTTCCAGCCCCAATTCCCCTGCCATCACCATTTCTAGCTCTAGCACCTCTGGTTTCTGGCAGCCTTGCTCTTCAGGTGGAATATGTGTTTGAAAGCCCTGCATTATGCTTCTATTTCTTTTTGATCTTGTAGGACTTCAGTTGGGCCAACCTGCAGTTGCTTTGAAATTTCAGTTTAACTTATCAGTGAATTTATTCTAATTAATAGTTACATTTCAGCTTTCTCTGTTCTGTTGATATTGGTAAGAAAAGTGGTTTACAAGTTAGACTATGGTAAAACTAAAGGCATTATTCAGATAATGTGTGTTTAAGCCACTTTTACAGTCTACTAATGCTACAGCAGTTGTAGAGGATATAAAGTTGCGAATTAGTATCCATAGCGCAATATAAAATGGCTTCAAAACCCGATCCTTTAAATATGTTCCACCTAGTTTCAAGAGATGTTTAATAGCTTCTTCTCTCCATATTCCCCAGGCCTTTTTTATTGTATAGCTTCCTCTTAATGAGTAGATTTACTTTGCAAAATTGTTCTGAAGGAAATTGGTTTGAATGTGTGCATGTCTTTTTCTAAGAGAGTTTTCTCCATGTAAGAGGAATATCTTTGTATTATTGCTCTTTATCTTTCCATCCTCTCTCCCCCCACTGCCCCACCCGCTACTTTCACAATGTCTCAATGTGTATTAAATTGTCCTTCGGTAAATGACATAATGCTTGAATGTAAAATTCAGTGCAAGGCCAAACTTTCAAATGATTTTAAAATTCGTAAGATTAAGATGACTTCATCTTGTGAGAGATATTAGCAACTGCTAATCTCATAATTCTTTTACAGTTTCAGCAATTCAAAGTGAAGCATTTGCATGTCACCACAGATAATTAAAACTACTATAGTTTTCTGGTCCACCATGCTGTAGGGGTGTTACTGCTTTAGGGTATAATGTATACTTGAAGCCTTCTCACAAAATAATTCTGATCTATTTGTTTTCAAACCTTTGCCTTTGGTCAGTCTCAAACTAGAATCATTTTTCAAAAGTTCCCTATGTTTAACTCAGGTCAAAGACTGGCAAGTGGACATGGTTTATCCACTCATGATGTGGCTCTTATCTCTTGTTCAGAATCCAAACAGGTGCACGGCTGCCCTACGCTGATAGTTACACTGCTTCGTGTTGTTCCTTGTGGCATGTTATCAATATTCTCAAGCAATGTTCCACTGTTTGAACTGCCCTGAAGGAGCAATGTGATACCCGGTTGAGTGAATACCAAGGTTGATAGTAGCAGAGCTGTATGCTGCACAACCTTTCCAGTATGAGGGATCATTCCTTTCCACTATCCAGCAGGAAACTGAAGTTAAACAACCCCTTTCTGTGCACCCTTGACAGCATCAACTAATTCCTCAGTGATACCAGCAAACTCATTCACATGCTCCCATTCTCCAGTTGTCCTAACAAATGGTGCTTTCCTCTATCACTAACTATCACATCATTCTCCTTGTGATAGCAGAAAACTAGAAATCACCAGAAAATGCATTTTTCTGTCCAATTTTATAATGTGAATGATTCCATTGTGTATATACAAAATTAAACTATACCCTTCTACATTCGCTTGGTGTTCTATGCAATATCGTCTATCCTAGTACTCCTATGAGGCAGCTCTGTGGTTTCAGAATTCTTGGTGGAAGACTACTGATCTTGAATTGAGGAGATTGCGGATGGCCTTGGAAGGTGACCTCAAGCAAGTAGGTGCTTCATGTTCTGTGTGAAATCCTGTGACAATATCCTGCTGGACTCCATGCTCTTTGACACTATGACATACTTTCTGGTATTTTTTTTCCACTGCACGAGGCATTTGATTAGTTGTTTTCAATGATATGACCCATCAAAATCTCATGAGTCCTTTACAGCATAGCAAGTGTGTGATCTTGCCCTTTGGCAAGCTGGTACCTGTATCATCATCCCCCTTCCCCTGTACACACTCTCACACTCTTTCACACTCTCAACCTCCACCTGGCTCTACACTTTTACTCTCTCTGTCTTACCATATGCATACCAGAGTCCTCCATCCTAGCCATTCACATACAAGCACAAACAGTTTCTTAAGTTGGTGAATAGAAGTACAAGATCAAGTGACAGAGTCCCTTCACCTTCAATGCCCTCTTCCTCCTCCAACCTTGGAGGTTATTAGATTACGGTGAGACGAGAAAAATATTTCAGAAGTACATTGTGGGATGAGGGAGAAGTAAATTTAGAGGAAGTGGTTTTGGAGAGTGGATATTGTCCTCATTAATCATTTCAGCTTGCCAGTGACCCCAGTTTCACTGAGCCTGTGCTGATGGCCAGCACTGTCTCTTCAAAGGGCATTAAAATATACAGATTTGCTTATCATCCTTCAATAACTTTTCCTGTTTGCTACAGCTTTACACAGTCTTCTGCAAGGGAAGGTATGTGTCAGTTAGTATCTTGCAATTTGGTTGAACTGGTCTCTGAGTTAAACAGTTACTTATGTAAGCAAACTGTGCATTGTGAGAGTCTGGCTTGCAACAGTGACTTGTATGTGCTGAGGCAAAGCATTTGGATTTTGGGATTGAGTTCCCTATACAGATTATTAGTATGGGATTAATGAATTGAGCAGTGGTTGGAGTTTGTAGCAGGACATGCAACTGGAGGAAGAGCTTACTCACTATGGCAAATTGAAATCATTAAACATCTTTTTGCACAGCATTCAAATTCTTGGAGCAACATGTAATGCTCCCAACATTAACATCTACTGTGAATAATTTGCAATTTCTGGATGGTGTCCTTCTCCACAACAGATACAAGATATTTGTCCATAAGACCATTAAGATATAGGAGCAAAAGCAGGCCATTTGGCTCATGAAGTCTGCTCTGCTATTCGATTATGTCTGATATGTTACTTAGCCCCATTCTCCTGCCTTCTCCCCACGGCCTTTGATCCCCTTACACATCAAGAACCTATCTATCTCAGTTTTAAGTACACTCAATTACTTGGCCTCTACAGCCTTCAATGGTAATACGTTCCACAGATTCTCCATCCTCTAGGTACTGAAGTTTTCCTCAACTGCTACTCATATGACAAGCCCTTCATTCCCAAGACCATTGTTGTAAACCTCCCCTGGACCCCATCCAAGACCAGCACATCCTTCCTTAGATGTGGGGCTCAAACTGTTCACAATATTTCAAATGTGGTCTGATCAGAACCTTGTACAGCCTCAGCAGTGCATCCTTGCTCTTGTCCATCCATCTTGACATGAATGCTGACGTTGCATTTGCCCTTCTAACTGCCAGCTGAACCTGCATGTTAATCTGAAAAGAATCCTGAACTAGGATTCTGAGTCCCTTTGTGCTTCAGATTTCCAAAGCCTTTCCTCATTTAGCAAATAGTCTACGCCTCTGTCCTTCCTTCCAAAGTGCTGTCCCTCCACATATCTTAATGTTATTTGCAAGCTTAGCAACATAAGCCCTCTGTTCCTTCGTCCAATTCATCCTTTACAATGCTTCTACCATTACCCCCAGTACAGTCTGAAAACTTTGCATGATCAGTTGCATGTTCAAAGTATCACAGCTCAGATTCTGTGTCCAGTTGACACCTGCCACTTCTTGCAGCCACAATGCTCGTCTACTTTAAGAGGTGCAGGCTTCTTTCAGATAGTTTTAACTGCTCATAATATTGAGTTTCCTGATGATGCATGTAATCAATTAACCGCAGTAGGTGGGGTTTAGCTATATGCAACAATTATCTAAAGCAGTCGACCACATAATTTTCTCATGTTGCTTACATCACAATGAACAGATGCAAGTTAGTCCCATTCCGTGATCAATTTTGGGGCTTAACTAATTTAGCTTCTACAATTTGTAGCTCATTTGAACTCTGAAAAGAAGTGAAAAGACTGAGAATAACATTCATGGTGGAAAGCTATCTTCACTTTCCTTGTTTATATCGGCAAGTAATGCAAGAACATGTTGCATTAGATTTCTCGGATCTAAAACTTCACAAAAGTATCATCCAGGAAAGATTAAACAAAAGAGGGAAGAAAATTGAAACCAGGAGTTTTTCAATCTAAGAAATTTTAATTCCTTGTTAGCACTTTCTACCCATTCTTGAAGTTTTGCTCATTTTTATTTCCACCTTGCTATATTTTGTGAAACCAGGTATAAGAGAATATTTTCCAGACATATTGATCAAAGCTCTAGAGTGCTGGTATTCCTGTTGTTTGTAATATATATAAATGATGTGGAATAGAATGTAGGTGACCTGATTAGTAGGTTTGTGGATGACACAAAGATTGTTGGAGCTGTGGAAAGTGAGGAGGAATGTCAGAGGATACAGCAGGATATAGATATGCTGGAGATTTAGGTGGACAAATGGCAGATGGAGTTTAATCCAGACTATTCAATGCAGGAGAGAAGTATACAGTAAATGGTACAATCCTTAGAAGCATTAACATACAGAAGGATCTATGTGCACAGGTTCACAGTTCCCTGAAGGAGTCAGCACGAGTGAATAAAGTAGTCAAGAAGACATATGGCATGCTTGCCTTCATCGGTCGGGGCACAGGGTGTAAAAATTGGCAAGTCATGTTGCAACTGTATCAAACTTCAGTTGGGACAGCTTTGGAATACTGTGTACAGTTCTAGTCGCCACACTACCAGAAGGATTTGGAGGTTTTTGAGATAGTACAGAAACAGTTTACCAGGATGTTGCTTGGTTTGAATGGTATTAGCTAGGAGAGAGATTGGTCGGACTTGGTTTGTTCTAACTCGAACGTTGAAGGATGATACCTGATAAGAGTTTACAAAATTATGTGAGGCATGGATAGAAGGATAGTTAGTCTTTTTCCCAAGGTAGAAATGTCAATTACAAGGGAACATAGTTTTAAGATGTAAAGTGGTATATTTCAAGGAGATGTGAAAGGCAAGGTTTTTTACAGAGTAGTAAGTGCCTAGAATGCACTGCCAGAGGAGGTGGTGGAGGCAGATACAATAACAATGTTTAAGAAACATCTTGACAGATATATGAATAGGCAGGGAATAGATGCATACAGACTGCAAAGAGGCAAAAAATTTTTAGTTCAGGCATCATGCATCAGCACAGTCTTGATGGGTTGAAGGGCCTGTTCCTGTGCTATGCATTCTTTATGCTTTTGTTGTCTAAAAGTGTTCAGATTTGTGGTTTCCTCTATTAGTGAGCTCAAACCATTGAGTGAGAGTGAGTCAGTAAATCTTTGCAAGACTGTACTGTGCTCTCTGAGTTTATTTGGTGAGTGGCTAGTTTGCGCAAACCCTTAGTTGTGTTTGATTCCCAATCAGTGCTGAATAAGCTGATCTCAGTTAAGATGGAAGTTGGGATGTTATGACTAACCTTAGTTTTTGGGAGTTGGAAAGCATTAAAGCAGTCAGGGCTACTGCTCCTAATTTTCATCCCGAGATCACTCCTGGAAATTGGGTAAAAATGGTGTAACCCTGGTATAACTGTGGTGTATACGTTCTAGGTCTCTAATAGCTGGAGAAAGATCACATTTGCTCCTCCTTACCAGTCTATTGAAATGCTGACAGATAAGCATCTAAACATTCAGAATAGTGCAGCAAAGTGATTACTTGCTCTGCTATTTTCAGTGATTTTCTGAATACACAAGTGAGCCAACTTTGTACCATGGGGTAAGGTTAGCTTGTACCAAAGATGTGCAGTGATCCTAATGCTGCTGACGAGGGACTTCATTATCTGACTGTCCGAATGTCACCCCTTATAATCTCAAAACCTTTCCATGAAGAAGTTATACCCCTGTTTTTTTCAGAGAAAACAATTTGTTCAGTTGCTGACCTCAGCCAATCTGACAGGTTTACCTTCTGATTGCTGCTGGATGTGTAAGACCTACATCTCATGAGCTTAATTAAGTCATTAATTGTTATCGATCTGTAATTACTCTTGACCCGATTGCCACTGAAGCACAGAATCTTTTATATCTAGAATTGCTTTCAAGGAATAGTCTGCATAAAGGAAATGCAGCTGTTCATGATCAGTTGTTTAATTATTGTACAAACATTAAGTCATAAATTCAACTACTTTTTCTTCAGAGAAACAGATTGTCAAAGTACGCGATGATTTCAACATTTCTATTCAGTTATGATGATATTAATTGTTCTAAGTAATGTATTTCCATTTTAATTATTTCCCAATTATTGTTTGGAATTCCTAATTTGTTACCAATATAATTATATGGTAGTAGCTGTCTGATGTGAATGCTGCTCCTAATCTGTGGCTTGCAATCTATTATCCAACTGGGCTTGAAGTTAAATATAGTAATGAAATTTTACCCAAAATGTTAAATCATTAAGAGGAGTAACTGTGATATGTAGCTGTCAGCTTCGACTGTTCTTTGTTGCTGTTTGTGGGCGGATTATGTCAATATCAGCCCAACTATTCTGTCAAATAAGCACT